CATTCCTGGAGGGGGCGGGGCATCCCCGACGTGATGATCTCCAGAAAGGCCAGTTCCCTGCACTTAAAGGAGCCGGCGTTTCCCTTTTAAGTGCACGGAGCCAGCATTTCCCCTTTAAGAGCAAAGAGCCGGCATTTCCCTTTTAAGTGCACGGAGCTGACATTTCCCTGCAAGCCTGATCTCAAGCGGAGATCGGGCTTGGGAGGAAACGTCCATGCACTTAAAGGCAGCCACCCCTCTCTCTCAAGAGAGAAGGGAGTGGCTGTGGGTATTGGGGGCGGGGCTTCCCCCAATGGCCATCTGGCCGGCGACGGGTAAACCCCCCCCAAAACAGGGGACCCCTGGCAAACCGGGGGGGGGGGGTTTGGCAACCCTAGATTGAATGAATCCACTGAAACACAGATTGCCTGGTTTATGTGTTAAAGAGAAACTAAGAGGTTGGAAGAGGGATGTAGAAGAACAAAACATATTATTTTGTTTAAATCACTTCACATTTTGAATTTGGTGGAAATATTGCTAGGCAGAAGGGCTGGCAATGGATAGGACATAGGAGTGTTTCAGTCCAGTTACCTTTATTGGCATGTAACCCTTGCAAACCCATATACAACAAAAAACAACAACAACCACAGCATAGAATAATATCTGCAAAATACAGAAACAAGGAATTACCAAGTAAGTATACCCATCAATTAAATAAAGGGCGAATAGAAATGCACCAAAAAGAAAGTTAGCAACTGTTTCCGTTATCTCAAAGTTTGGATTATCAAGAAGAATAAGGATCTTTAGGCAATCAAGATATTCTTCTAGTTGAGCCAAAGTAAAATTTAGAAATTTCAGTCGTAGTGCATGGTAGAAGGGGCACTGAAACAAGACATGGAAAATCATTTTGATATTATCATTTGTGCATGGGCAACATCTGTCAGAAAAGGGCATACCCTGAAAGTGGCCAGATAATAAGGCCAAAGGTAATACATTGAATCTCGCCAAAGAGAGGGCTCTACGAAGTTTGGGGGTGTGAAGTTGGTCCAGGTAAGAGGCAGCTTGGCCAACTTTTGGAGATATTCCAAAATACAGGGGTGAACAGGTTTTATTAGCGGCATTATACAGTGAATGTAGCTCAGAACAAAGTAGATTGGCTCTTATAATTGAAAAAGCCTTAGATTCGGAAGTAAGGAGTAAGAAATCTAAGGTGATATCCAGGGATTTAATTTTGGATTCTATATAGGTATTCCAGTTAAGAGTCATTAGATTCCAGTAGAAGCTGATAGGTGTTAGGTCCGAACTGAAAAGAAGGCGAAGCCAATACTTAATTGTAATTAGTCACGCTTTAGTTATCAACATGTTCTGGCCACATTCCAGGCATAAAGCTGCATAGGGGACACACATTGGCACCCCAAAGATTTTCCTCAGAAAATAGGACTGAGGCTGTTCTATGAGATTTCCAGTTGTATTGATCCAAATAGGCACCCCATATAATAACTGGGCCCCTATTTTAGCATTAAAGGCTTTTAAAGCAGCAGGTATATACTGGTTACCTCTTCCTGAAAAATAAAATTTGGAAATTGCTGCCGCATTTACTTTGGCCGTATTAATTGCTGTTTTTCGGTGACATACCCAAGAGGCGTTGCATTGAAAATGAACACCAAGATATTTAAAGACCTTGACCTGTTCCAAGGAATGACCATTGATTTTCCAGTCATGAAATTTCCAGGAGTTGGAAAAGATCACTACTTTGGACTTCTCATAATTTAATCATAATTTAACTCCAGGTAGTTGGCAGCACAATATTCATAGCAGCGATCAAGTAAACGCTTTAACCCCAAACGAGTCGATGACAAAAGGACTGCATAATCATCGTACAGCAGTAAAGATATATGCGTAGACCCAAGTCTAGGGCTGTGCCCATCAACTAAAGACAGAAAAGGGGCAAAGTCATTTTTAAAAAGATTGAAAAGGGAAGGGCCCCAAATACAGCCCTGCTTAACCCCTTTATTTATATTAATCCTTGGAGTAAGTCTTCCAGGGGGAGGGCATCTAATCTGATAAGATGTAGCCATATACAATTTCCTGATAAGGAATAGTAATCTCTTATCAGGAAGCAGATGATCAAATTTCCTCCAGAGTAAGTTCCTTGAAACAGAGTCAAAGGCCTCTTTAAAGTCCAGAAAGGCAGCACAAAGCTTGGCCTTTCTTTTTGTATATTTATTTATCAACTGAGAGAGGAGAATACAATGATCAAGAGGTGATTTCCCCTGGCTGAACCCTATTTGCTCAGGACCAAGGATCTTAGAAGATGAGGTCCAATTAAAGAGCTTTAGTTGTAAGAATTTGGCATATAATTTCCCTATTACAGAAAGTAAACTTATTGGCCTATAGTTGGAAGGAATGTGTTGTGGTCCCTTCTTATAGATGGGAACAATAATGGCATTGGACCAGGCCGCAGGCATCTGACCCGTTTTATTTATCATTGTAAAAAGGGAGGCCAGGGGGGAGGCCTGGGAGGAGTGTTTCTGTATATTTGTCAGCAATTAAGAAAAACAAAAATAAGCAAATCTTACTGCTGAGAAATAACAGGTAATTGTGGTGGATCTTTCCCCATCCTACCATCCATTGAGCAAAGTTTATTTACATTTCTGATCATTGTATCTAAAAAAAAAACACCACACACATTGCAGAGCTGGAAAAAGTACAAAGGAGGGTGACCACAATGGTTAGGGGGTTAGAGCACCTTCCCTATGAGGAAAGGCTGAAGAGTCTGGAACTTTTCAGTTTAGAAAAGAGACAACTAAGGAGGGACATGATTAGGGATCCCAAGTCCCCCCGGGGGGCGGGGAACCCCCCGCCCCAGAGGCCCATTCCCCGGCGCTGCCAGATCGGGCCCCGGGGGGAACTCCTCCCCGACGTGCGCGTCACCTGGAAGTGACGCGGGCACGCCGGGCACGGGGCCATGGCCATAAAAGGGAAAACTCTTTGGTTTTCCCTTGTATGGTCGTGGCCCCGCCCCCAACGTGCCTGGCGTCATAACGTCACTTCCCGGTGACGTGTGTGCGGCGCACGCTCCGGGATCCACCCAGGAGTCCCCTGCCGCCAAGGTAAGTTCTACTTGGCAACCCTAGACATGATAGAGGTTTATAAAATGATGCATGGGGTGCAGAGAGTTGACAGAGAGAATTTTTTCTCCCTCTCCCATACTTGAAGGCACTCAATAAAACTGATGGGCAGTAGGTTCAAGACAGACAAAAAGAAATACTACTTTACACAGAGTGCTGAAAATGTGGAATTTGCTGCCAGAAGATGCAGTGATGGCCACAGCAGATTTAAAAGGGAATTAGATAGATTCACGGAGGACAAGTCTATTAATGGGAACTTGCCACAGTGACTGAGGAGAACCTCTACATTCAGAGGCACTAATCCTCTGAATCCCAGAGCCAGGAGGGCAACATCAGGAGAAGGCCTCAGCCTCTATGCCCTGTAGTTGGCTGTCCAGAGGAACTGGTTGGCCACTGTGTGAGACAAAATGCTGGACTAGATGGACTATTGGCCTGATCCAGCAGGGCTCTTGTTATGTTCTTTTTTATGTATTGATCTATTAAAATATTTATACCCCTAGGATTTGTGGAAAAGCCACTTAAGTTGGTGGAAGGCTACTCCATGGATGATTGGAAATGCCCCATTTTTTCCAGACTACCCACGGCAAAGAAAGCAGGACTTTTAACTTTGTTCTGGTAGGAAATTGAGAACTTGAATAGAATTACAAAGGAAATACAGGCATCAGGGCTATACCTGTATTATGAGACAAGATAGCTTTACAACTGCATTTCAGGCAAAGAACTTGTCACTGCCAGTCAGTGGGAAATAGGCTTGCCAGTCCCCAGGTCGGGGCAGGGATTCCCCTGGTTTTTGAGGCTTCTTTCCGCCCCCAAACAGCCATATCCCCACGTGACTTTCCCGAAAAGATGATGTCACCTGGAAGTGATGTCATCACACCGGGGACACTCTGGTATAAGGGCAAACTCCATGGTTTTAAGCCGTTTTACCATAGAGTTTTGCCCTTAAACCAGAGCGTTCCCGGTGTGATGACATCACTTTCGGGTGATGTCATAATGTCAGGGACGTCCTGGGATGCCCCCCAAATCCCCCCACTGGAGCGATGAGAGGATCTGGCAACCCTAGTGGGAAACCCTACTTTGCTAAAATTACACATTACATATAATCATTTATTATAGTCACATAATATCAGTAACAGCCATGGATTGCAGAGTCCTGGTTTCAGTGTGTATTTGTAAAAGACTGCCTTCCAATTTTAAATGCCAAAATTGATTTTATGTTTGTGTACATACATGCAAATTTACACTGCAATTAAAACTATGCAAGATGTCATCCAGAAATTTTCTATGTTTAATCTCCTCTGCAAAAATTACTTTTGAGTATATGAACCGTTCTCCTAATTCCCACCAGAGTAAGTAAATACTGGAAATTACTGGAATTCTTGTCCCTCCACCCACATTGTTCATACATTTCTGTTTGTAATTTTTTGGGGGAATGATTGTGAAAACTTCTATTGAAAACCTATCCCAGCAACAGCCTATCTGAGACCTCAACTTAGGTCTGTGACTGAAATACCTATTATTATTACTGTAATCAGAAAGATTTCCAGTTTAGGAGTCATGTTCATAAAACACTAAGCATTACTAAAGGAAGCATGGATGCCATTAAATAAGCATATCTGTACCTGGTAACATATTGTGAACAAGAGTAGCAACATTCACATCTTGGAGGTGCTTAAGGGTTTCTGTGTGGAAAAGGCGAAGTGTAGATCCTGATGTGAAGGCAATCCAGATTCCAACTCCTGCCACAGCCATATGGGAAATCACCATCCCTTCCTCTTGATGAGCTTCAAAGTGGCACTGAGTTACAAACAGACAGAAGTCAAAGGTCATGGAGCAGAACAACCAATCTCAGTAGTCCTTATTATGTCATTGTTTTCTCAGAAGGGAAAGAATGTGTAGTAGTAATACTGTGCAAATGAACACTCTCCTTGTCCATGTTATTTCCATGCCAAAAAAGGCAGAATCATCAATGATGGTATTAGGAAACTGCTACCTCTCACTAGTAGTTTACTGGTAAACTCCTAATAGAAATCACTTATTTACAACAGGAACTTGGGTTTTCCTACCTGTTTTCTAGAGACCAGTTTTTAAGCTTGGGTACACCTCAAGATAGTGGAATGGATCCAGGCTAAATCTGCAATTTCTGATTCCCCCTTCCCAATGCAGACACCTTCATGTCACTCCTCGGGGTCCCCTATTCCCCAGAGCAGTACTGTGTGGAGATCAGTAAGCTTCAGTGTGTGTGTTGGGGGGGGGGGGACAGGAAACTTCCATTCTTCCATTGGAAAATTTAGTCTGGATCCAACTCTGTGCTAGCTAGAGAGGCCCAGGTTCAAATCCCCATGCAGCCATGAAGCACCCTAACCTTGAGCCAACTGCTGTGGCTCAGTCTCACAGGGTTGTTTGGAGAATAAAAAGGAATATAAGAGAGGATCATACATCCTACTCTGAGCTCCACCGGAGAAGGCTGGGATAACAAAAATGTAATAAATAAAACAGATGGCAAATTAAATGGTGGTAATATACATTTTTTACACATTGCATGGACCTTAAAAAAACCTGGGTTTCCTTGGCAGTACCCAACAAAGAAGAGGCCTCTAGTCATTGCTTCAGTGTGTATTGCAGGGAAACCAGGACACTTAGATACATGTGTGCAAGGCACAAAAAATAAATAAATAACAAAGTATGATTCGGCCTCGAGCATACTTCCAAGAGCTGAACATTTTAATAAGTTGTGGAAGCAGTCCTTCAATGAATGACAAGTTCTCCTGGTGCAAAGAGCTTCCATTCATGCAAGAACAGTGTTTTACAGTGAAACAAAAAGCACCTAGCACCAGAAGAAAGTGTTGCACATCCAAGGAGCAGCTTTGCAACAGACAAAGATGTGGTACAAACAGCTTAGATTAGGATCCAAGCTACTGATTAAAAAACAAAATGAAACATCCAATTTATATTATATCTGAAAAAAAATCCCCAAATTTATTCTAATAAGGACATGGGCAAAAAAATGGGACAGTTCCAGTTATGCGATCCTGCAGAAAACCAGTTCTGAATTCTCTCTTTCATAAATAAATATGGGAACAGATGGCACTATCCAAAGTAAAGAACACAGCAATGAAGAAGAAAATTATATAGCCAAGAAAGGTAGCATTAGTTTTGTCAAATCAGTTTACTGAAGTTACTTATGGGAAGAGTCAATAAAGAACTAAAATCCACTTTTAAAATGTGTTAAAATGCTATTAAAGATACATTCAAAACTGAGCTTACACAAGGAAAAAATGCTATTATTAGGGATAAATTAAACCTACCAAAATGGGTGATTTGGGGATCATCAGTTGCTGTGATACATTATCATCATGGGATATCATGCAGTAGTATTGCTTGCTTTATGATTAACATAGGTTAGCAAGCATTATGAATATTAGTAATTTAAAAGATGGCCTTTGGACGTTGGGGGGGGGGCAAGTGTTGGATTCTTTTTGAAAAAGTCATGAGCATTGCTATGCCAGTGAGAAATACTGGAATACAGAGCAAGTTCAGTACCACAAAAAACCTATGTCTACTTGTTTGCATAGCTTTTATATCCGAGAAATACACAGTATTTGTCTTGTAAACTAATCTATGCAGGCAATGTAGGCTCATCTCCTCTCATGCATTGTGAGTAGCCGTGTTAATCTGTCTGTAGGAGTAGAAAAGAGCAAGAGACCAGCAGCACCTTCAAAACTAACAAAAACTTGTGTCAGGGTATGAGCTTTCGTGAGCCACTGCTCACTTCTTCAGATACTGAAGTTATTTATAGAAGGGAGCAGTGACCCAGGAAAGCTCATACCCTGCCATAAATTTTGTTAGTCCTTAAGGTGCTACTGGACTCTTGTTCTTTTCTCATGGATTAGATCAGCAACTGAAAAGCTCAGGTTCTTATACAGTCATTTCTCAATGTGCCTCTGTATTAAGGATACAAAAGATTTTTTTCCCCCATGCACAAAAAGCAAAACATCTCTGGGATAAGCTATCTCCCAAGTAAGATGGTGTTGAGTGAATCCACAATGCAGCACACGCTGCTGAAATTGTGCACAGCCCCTATGTCAGCTTGTCTCTCGGGAAGCATTTCTTATCTGACTGTCCAAACAAACAGTGCCGCCCTCCGTTTCTAACTTAGTATTTTGTTTCTTTTGGTTCATTCATTTATTGTGGGTTGGAAGCAAAGAAACCATCAGCAGAGTTCTACTAGTGGAAACTTCCCATCTTCAATAGTCCACTTCACTGAAAAAGCTACTTCTAAGGCTTAGGGACACTCAGAAGTCATAAAGAACACAGGATGGTAGAAATCAGGACTCCTGTTTCATAGATGGCCACTTCAGAATGGGACTGTCAACTCCCAGCTCAGCAGGGATGTGATGTCACAGAGTCCACCCTCTGAAGCTGCCACTGCCTCCAGGGGAAGCGTTCCCTGTAGTTTGGAGATCAGTTGTAATCCTGAGAGATGTCCACGTCCCACCTGAAAGCTGGCAATTCTACCATGGATGCAACACAGTATTTATTATACTCTGATCCCACCCTTTCAAATCAATGTACAACATGGTTTCATCCCCTTCTTTACCTTCACAACAAGCCTATCAAGATGGTACCAATGAGAGATTGTGATTGGCACAAATCCACCCAATGGGTTAGAACTAGAGTATATTTTCCAGTGGCAGAGTGGAACTTTTCTACCTCCCCGTTCCACTTCAGCTCACTGATCTTCATGAAATGCTGTTCCTGGGGGATAGGAGACCCTGGGGAATGACATGGGGGGTGTCTGAGGCAGGAAGGGGGGGAATGGAGCAAACACAGTCGTTTGGATCCAAAAGAATGAGCTTCATAGGTAAATGTGGATTTGTACCTATTTATTTGTTTAGTGCGCTTATATGCTGCTTTTCTGTACCACAGGCCTTCAGATTAAAATACAGATTTGAAAACAATTAATAAACCAACAAGTCAATCCATGACAAAATCCAGGGAGCTACCTAGCTCGACACAACCCAGCCCTCTTTCTACTAGACCACATTTCCTTCCATTAATGTACTGAATGACACACACTTATTCTCTCTACCTAATTTAATAATTCCTTTTTGAAATCATAACTGGTTGAAATCTAAACAGCTTTGTGGAATTCAGTGGCGCTGTTTCTGATTCACACCCAAAGAGAACTGGCAGTAAATGTAGATTTTCAAATATGTTTCTGCTCAATGGGGTTCTACACGTTACTTTTAAAAGCCTCTCAAGAGAAAACAAGGAAACTTCTCCAAAGAGATAAAAGGTACATATCAACTGAAAAAGCCCGCGAGCCTGTTTACTGACATATTCAATATTGATGAATACAGAAGAACACATAGAAAATAAATCACACTGTTATTTCAAAATACCACCTGGTTAGAAAGAAAACCTACTCCAAGAGTGATTCTGCACTAGACCTGAAATCCCGATTCAACCTTTTCCCCGAACTTACATTCTACACTATACTCGAGTTCACCACTGTAATTATCTCGGGGTATTTTTACATTCTACACTACACTTGAGGTCACTCCTGTAATTATCTCAGGGTATCTTTTGTTTCCACTTTACATTGAGGTCACCCCGGTTTTGCCCCACACTTGTCCCAGGATAAACGGATGCTGTTATAACCAGGGATAAATGCAAGGTATTGTGTCACAAGTTGAACTCTGATAAAGCCAGGGATAAGATCCAAGTGCGGAAAGGACTCAAGAGCCATGGGCTGCTTCTGGATATGTTCTTGCTTTTTGAGAAACAGTTTGTAGCTGTAGCTAAAGTTACTTTTTAATCTTTTACATTTACTGTGTAGGTTCTGCCCCTTCCTGTAAAAATACTTCTGGAAAAATCCAGGCTGGACTACTATACTGTGCTTTACATAGGTATACCCTTTAAGAGAATTAGAAAACTCAGCAGGTGCAAGATGTTGGTGCCCATCTTTTAACAGACACTGAAAAGTTTGAGCTTACCCAATCAGTGACATGCCAACTGCACTCACTATAGCAGCTCCAGTCAGGTATCGCCTCACTTGTTCCAGAAGCGAATTCAAAATCAACACAATTGCTACAAAAATAATAAAATCATACATTTATGCCACCCAGTATTCATCCGGGCTGATAGCTCTATTTCTGGGAGATGTGCCGTCATAGGAAAGAGGGCTTCAGAAGCCTCAATACATACATGGAAGTACTCCGTGGGGTCCTTTGGACTCCAGGCAGAACAGATATACTTCCCATTTTGTTTTTCTTTCTCATTCACACCTCAGATTTGAGAAAGGAGAGGTCAGGTCGCCTTGGTATAAATTTGTCTTGGCTAGGGCTGCCAAATGCAGCCGGGGGGCGGGGAATCCCCCGTTTCGGAGCCCCGATTCCCGGCGCGCCGGAATCGGGGCCCGGGGGAAACCCCACCCCCGCGTACGCGTCACCCAGAAGTGACGTCGCACGCTGGGGGCGGAGTCACGCCATTTGAGGGGAAAACTCTTTGTTTTCCCCTCAAATGGTGTGGCCCCGCCCAGCGTGTGACGTCACTTCTGGTGATGTCCTGGCGGCGCGCGCGCATCTCTGAGCAGCTCCAGGAACGGCCGGACGATCCCCCGCCGGTAAGAACTTCGGATTTGGCAACCCTAGTCTTGGCTATTTCATAATAGCTGCCAGATAGGACTGCCAATTCACTTAAACTCCTTTTTTACCAGAGTTTTGCCCAAATACCAGAATGTCCATGGTACACATTAACATCACTTCCGGTGCATGTCAGAAGTGATGTTGCTG